TGCATCCGCCGTCGTGCTTGTAGCAGTTACTGCAACGTGGTATCTGTCCAGCAGGTCAAGGAAAGAAACCGGAGCACTTGCTACTGCATGTTTCTTGCATGCATTCGGGTTGTCGAGCGGGGCACCGCGTTTCTTCAATGAGACGAAGCCGGGAGCGGGGCAAAGTTTGACCGGGATAAAAATCATGCTCGGTTTTTCAAATCACTGGGGGCGCCGCCGAACGGGCCTGCCACGCCTTGGGCGCCATCGGCTTCGCGAGGGAAGGAATGCGCCCCGGCGCGGATGAGGCCACGGCGCGTATTTGGCCACGCGCGCGCCCGAGGGAATTCAGCGCCGAGCGCCTTTCACTCCAGAAGACCCGACGTCAACAAAACAAACTTGAGGCCCCAAGGGGGTCCCAAAGAGGCGGACCGCCAAAACAATCACGCAACCAACGCAACGAAAAACACGTGTAAATGTCAGAAAGCGCAGTACTCAGTGACCTCTTCGGCCACGCAACACCGCGAGAATGCCCAAGAAGGCATTGGAAAAAGAGCCCGCGCGCGGCCTGGCGACTTCCCCGCGCCGCCCCAAGGTTCCCGAAGCGCGCCGAAATAACCGTAGAGAAAAACCCGGAAAGTCTTTGGAAGGCCCCCGCACCATGCAATATCCGCCACCGAGTAATCTCGCGGACACCTAGCGCGCGCGCGCGGGCGTCCACCATGGATGCCCAACTCCGGTTTCGGAGACAATCGCGCGCAACCGCCCGGGGGCTTCGGCAACCTCGCGATTGGCCCAGGGGCCCGCGGGCCCCAGGGAATCGAGGACCGAGTTCGCGACTCCGGAAGCATCGGGCGGGGCGCCAGCCAGTCGCTCGTCTCTGGTTGACAGTGGGACGCCTGGAGATCCGGTCAAACCTGAGGAAGCGCTTTTCAGAGATCCACAGAACCAGAAAACGGGGCGCGCCAAATTCTCGCGTCCGAAGTTCTCTGAGAATCTCTGAAAATCTCTGAACTGGACACCCCGCGTGAAACATTCCCATAGACCCAAAACCTCGGAGCTGGCCGAAACTCTCTGAGAGTTTTTCGGCCCGCGAAATTTGGCGCGCCCGGATTTCCCGTTCCGAGATTCTCTGAAATCGGCCTGCGGCGGCGCCCAGCAGGTCCTCACGCGCCGAGGGTGGGGGCCGTGGACATCGCAGGCCGCGATGATCCCGACCACGAGGTCCTTCCTCCTGCCCCTCGACGAGTCCACGCTCATGGACACGCTCTCTGCGCTGAGCGTGGACCGCGCCATCCGCCGGTACTTCTGCGCGACGACAGCCAACTGGCCGCCGACGGACAAGGCGATCCTTTTCCGAGCTGCGCGTGCCACCGAAAACGTACAATAGCCCCGGGCTCGGGGAGAAACACTTTCGAAGCATTTTCAGGCCGCCAGCGTCGTGGCCGCCGACCCGCCGCGCGCCGACCGCGAGACTAGCTGGGCCCGCTACGTCCACGGCGGCGGGCGGGCGCCCAAGAGAGCTGTCGCGACGGTGCGCGCGGCGGGGCGCCCGCCCCACTGCAACCGCGCACGCGGCCTCCATGGCGCCACAGGCGTAATATGTGTGAAGCACTCTCGGACCCCCCAGCAACGCATCGGCCAGCGCCCAAGCCCCTGAAACGCAAACCTACTGCGCCCCCCGTGCAAGCCGCGGACCCGCTCCCAATGCTCGTGCACACCAGCTTTTCTGCCCGCCCTCAACAGTTTAATTGAGCGCCCATGCGTTACTTGGGCTCCTCAAGCCCTCGAAAAGTCCTTGGGGGACTTCTGCGAGTGCGCGCGCTGCGCTCCACAATTCGGCGTTCTATTTTTCTTTGGAACTCTCCCAGAATCTCTGGTTCCGATTTGTCCCGATCTTCCGCTCAACTGATTCAATTCCAACAGCTGCCATGGACCAGACATCGTCGTCGCTGCGTGCGTGAATTCTAACCCTTTCGCATGGTCCACAGACTTGCTGGACAGTTCTTTGCGATGCACTTTCCGGACCCCCTCCGGCAAAACATTGTCTTCGACGATGGCCTGGTTCGCATATGGCGGCGGTAGAGTGACAAACCAATCGCGGGCCCCGCTGTGCTCTGCGCTCTGTATCATGCCCGCGTGGCCGACAACCAAGAAGCCTCCGCGCCGACTCCGTGGCATTTAGCTTCGCCCCCGTTCGCTGGAGGGGGGGGCACGATTTGTTCACACCCTTATCGCGTGGGCCTCCTGAGGCCCTTTTGGAGCCTCCATTTGCGTGCACGTTTGGTGCCCTCTCGGGGCCTCCGTTTGGGTGCACTATTGGGGTCATCCTTATCGCGGGGCCTCGTGAGGCCCTCTTGGGACCCCCATTCGGGTGCACGTTTGGTGCCCTCTTGGGGCCTCCATTCGGGTGCACTCTTATGATCATCCTTATCGCGTGGGCCTCCTGAGGCCCTTTAGGGGCCCCCCATTTGGGTGCACGTTTGGTGCCCTCTTGGGTCCTCCATATTGGGTGCGCTTTTGGGGTCATCATTATCGCGTGAGCCTCCTGAGGCCCTCTCGGAGCCCCCATTTGGGCGCGCGCTTGGTGCCCTCTTGGGGCCTCCATTTGGGCGCGCTCTTGGGGTCATCCTTATCGCGCGGGCCTCCTGAGGCCCTCTTGGGCCCCCCATTTGAGTGCACGTTTGGGTGCGCCCCTTTCATGCGAACGACTGACGTAGGCTTCGACAGAACAACCCGCCTGTTCATACGACCGACCTACCCTTTTCATACGAGCGACTCACCCCTTTTCGTACGAACGACCTGGGAATTCATGCGGACAGCCCAGTTTAGCCATCAGCGGGAAATCGACTGAACAAACAAAGATCTATGGAACGGCCGCTCTTCTCTGTTCTTCGTCTTCTCCGGGTGCCCCCCATTATTTTGCAGAGGGCTGGCAGAAGCCACAAAGCATCAAAAATCCGCGGAGAGCGCGCGCTGGGAGAAACTCCGCGGGCGCACCTTGCGCGGACTCAAAGACCACCCGAGGCTTCGAGAATACTACATAAAACGAACCTTCAACAGAACCTGAACACGGGAGGTCGCGCCCATTTGCAGGAGCACGGGAAAAGCTCCGCAAGGTTCCTGCAAACAGGGGGGCCCCCACGCCCAGGTCAGTGGAGGTGCGGGCCCACTCTTTGCAAAATACCGCCTCCTCCCCCGTCAAGAAGGGAGGGGGGGCGCCCGGCGACAGCGATGACGACAACGGCTCCCGCCAGCTGCCGCCGCGCCCGGCGGCGCGCGGACGCGGGCGGGCGGCTCGGGCCGCGCGGGCGGGGAGGAGGAGGGAAACGAGGGAGGAGGACACAGACCTTCTCGCGTCGTGAAAAAAACACGGCGGGCGGTTTTTGGCTATTGTCGGCCTCTGGAGGCCCTCGCCGGGCCTCGGGAGCGTCACAAAACGAGTCGGAGTGAAAAAATGGCCCCGGGGAAGATCTCCGGACCTCTGGGCGCCGACGTTGCGAAAAAAACAAGACGATGTGGGAGGGGGACAAAGATGAGGGAGGAGGACGACGAGGAGGATGGGAGAGGAAGGAGAGGACCTTCCCAGAGAGGACCTTCCCAGGGGGTAGCTTTTCCCCCTGAGTCCGTTTTTGATGTCCCCGGAGTTCGAACACGGCCCCCCGAAGGCCGAGAAGGGGGGTGCAAGAAACCCCTCCTTCGCCTCATCCCCCTCTCTCCTCTCCTCCCCGAATTACACTCAAACCGAGCCCTGAGAGAAAATCTCGGAACCTTGAGGAGCCCGCGGATCCGAAAACGAACGACGACGGATACCTCAAGTCGCGGAGAGGACGACGATCGGAGGAATAAAAACTTCGGAGAGGTCAAGCCTTCGAAAAAGCGCAAGATGGAAGAACAAACGGTGGAATGTAAGCCACCGTACACACGGCCCGATGGTACGAACGACATCGGAATCCCCAATCCCACCCATTCCCTAACCCGCCGAGCCCTGGGGGGCTCGAGTCATGTGAGATCCTTCCACCCCTACACGCGAGCAGCAGCACCACACAGCACGAAGCCCCGACTGGATCAAGGGCCCGTTTGCTCGCGCACCATCTTCACCCCAAAACAACCAGAGATAACTCAAGATAGCCCCATACAGAATACAAGCAACAACGCAAACCATCACAAAAAATTGAAAACCCCGCGCTCGAGCACCAGGTGCGTTCCAAGATTGACCAGGATTGTCCCAAAACCCGTACCAGCGCAAACACACTACATCAAAGAAACTCGAAACCGCAGAGTTTCTTATGAAATGGCGACGTCTGCTGAATGCGGCGCCGTACGCTTGAGCACCATATGAACCCCAAAATACCACCAGAAAAACCCAAGATTGCCAGAGTAACCCATCCCAGCACTAGCACACTCCAAATGCGGAAACTAAAATAAAAAGGGGTCGGCGGATGTGGCGTAAGCCTAAAGAATCTTCGGAACTCATTTCATGGTGAGGTCTACCTGGGCATCGCTTCGCCAGGTAGCGTGCATACATGACAGTAGAAAAAGCTTTACATAGCAGACAAACACACACACACACACTATGCCTCCGTCAGAGCAGGCGAGGCCCACACAACGGTGCCCCAGATTCCCGAGGATGTCTATCTGGAGCATGTGCTTCTTAGGACAACTCGAATTATTTCGGGGCCACGTGCCCCGACACGCCGAAAGACAAATGTTACACTGCCAGTAGCCGCCTACTTGCTTCCACCGAGGCGGGAGAGGCGGGGGAGGCGGAGGAGGAGGAGGAGGAGGAGGAGGCGGAGGCGGAGGAGGAAGAGGCGGAGGAGGAGGGAGGATGAGGGAGGAGTAGGAGGGGGGAGGAGGGAGGAGGAGGGGAAGGGAGGACGAGGAGGCGGAGGAGGAGGGAGGGGCAGGATAGGGGGGAGGAGGGAGGAGGGAGGCGTAGGAGGAGGGAGGAGGGAGGAGGGGGAGGGACGGGGAGGGGGAGAGCGCCACCAACTCTGCGGGGGCGCGTGTCCCCGCGCCTGTGGGCGCGCCACGCCAGGAGGGCCCCGCGCCCCACGAGCTCCAGCCGCCGGCGCAGCAGGCCGAACGCCGCCTCGTGCGACAGGGAGGCCGCGAGGGCGACGCCTCCGCGTGCGAGGCGGGCAGAGCGATGACGATGGCGATGACGATGGCGATGATGATGACGATGATGATGATGATGTTTATGATGATGATGATGATGATGATGGTGATGATGATGATGGTGATGATGATGATGATGATGCTGGTGATGATGATTGTGAGTGTGGTGATGATAATGATGATGGTGGTGATGATGATGCTGAAGTTGATGCTAATAATGATGATGATTGTGATGGTGATGATGATGGATGATAGATGATGGATAATTGATGACTGTGCTGATGACGTTGGATGACGGATGACGACGATGATGATGATGATGATGATGATGATGATGATGATGATGCCAATGGTGATTATAATTTTGGTGGTGATGGATTATGGATGATGATTGGTGATGCTTGGTGGATGATGGATGGTGGATGATGGACGATGGACAATGGATAATGACGATATTGGTGATGATGCTGATGATGATGGTGATGGAATGATGATGACGATGATGACGATGATGACGACGACGATGATGATGTTGATGGTGATGATGATGATGATGCTGATGTTGATGCTGATAATGATGATGATGATAGAGAATGGATGATTGTGCTGATGACGATGGATGACGGATGATGACGATGATGATGCTGATGGTGATGATGATGTTGAATATGATGGATTATGGATGATGCTTGGTGGTGGTTGGTGGATGATGGATGGTGAATGATGGATGCTGGATAATGGATGATGACGATGATGGCGCTGATGATGATGGTGGTGATGAATGATGATGATGATGATGATGATGATGATGATGATGATGATGATGATGATGATGATGATGATGATGATGATGATGATGATGGTGGTGGTGGTGATGATGATGATGGTGGTGGTGGTGGTGATGATGGTTATGATGATGGTGATGATGATGGTTGACCATGACAGCGTGAGAGCAAGAGCCGTCGGGCAGGGCCTGGCCTGGGGCAGAGCGCGGAGCGGCTCAGAGCGACCGAGCGTCAGCTACAGGCCCCCCGAACCCTCTCGCGGGCTGGGCAGCGAGTTTCGCGCGGGTAGCTGGAGGATTGACGGGGGTGAGAGGGGGCGACACCGGGGGGGTGGGCAGGGAGGAAGCGGATCGAGGATCGGCGCTGTTCCACTTTTGTGGCCCTTCTGGGGCCTCTGGATGCCCAGAAGGGGGGGTGAGAGGGGTGAGAGGGGGTTGGGAGGGGGGAGGGGGCAGGTCGTCTTCGCCGCGGCCGCCTTCGCCGCGGCCGCCTGCGCCCGTGGCCTGCCTTCGCCCGCGGTTTGCCTTCGCCCCGTCGCCTTCGCCAGCTCGTCTTCTTGAGGGGCCACGGGGCCAAACTGCGCGCGCCCGCCCACCGCCGGGGAGCACCGGCCGCAGAATCCGCTCTGCGCTGGGGCCCCCGGCCGTGAGCGGGGAGTCACGCCTGCCATCGCTCGGACGTCCATTTCCCGTGCATTTTTCGGTTTCGTGCGTGCTTTTTTGGGGCTCGATGGTCCAGGATGATCCTCGATGGTTCTCGCCGAGGAAAGAATGCACACGTCCGAGCGATGCCAGGCACGTGAGCGACACAAAGGAACCGGTCTCGGCGGCGAGGGGGAAGGCAGAGGGGGCGGGCCTTGTCAGAAGGCTCTCAGAAGGCCTGTGGCCTTCTGAGAAGCTGTGTGTAGCCTCACTCGAAGACGCAGGCGTCTTCTGAGAAGGCCGGGGAGCTTCCGAGAAGCCCCCCAGCCTGCCGAAGCACCCCCCCCTCACTTGCCCCTGGGCTCGCCGCCGAGGGTCTTCCGCTTAAGTCGGGCCTGTCCCCCTACGGGGGGATTTTCGACGATTTTTCTATACACCAAAAATAATCAAAAAGTTATACAAAAATCGTCAGGGGACTATTTTTTGGGGTATTGTTTGACCTCTTTGGGGTATTGTTTGGGTACTTTTTAATTTTCGACCCCCTGTAGGGGGACACGCCCGTCATAATCTTACGCGCGATGGCACAGCGACCTTCTTGGGCCGCCATCGCGGCACGCCACACTGGAAACGAGCACGCTCACGCGCGACCTTTCGCGGGCAACGCGCGAATGTCCGCGCAGGCGAACCCGCTTTTCTGTTCCGCGTCGCTCACGTGGAGCTGCGGCGCGGACGCCAAGGGGGGCGGCTTTGGACCAGATCGCGCTTGAGCAGGCAGCTCTGCGCTAGCCAATCCACCTGTCGACTCCAGCTTGGGCCCGTGTGAAAATCTGAGTTCGTATCGTCCCGCACAGAGCTAGAAGTTGGTCAGAAGTGCAGCTTCTTCCTGCACTCTGATTTGCCTAGCACATGGAATCCGCCGCCCTGCCTCTGGGCACGGAGTGGGCGTGTCTTCAGGTCATTTGCCCAATTCCCTGAGCCTCAGTCCTCACTCCTGAGGGCGCTCGCAGACAACCCTAGAGGCCCCCAAGACCGCCTCAACACGGCCCAAGAGACCTCCAAGAGGGACCACAGGAAGGACCCCAGAGGGCAACAAGACAGGGAAAGAGGCGCACAAAGCTGCCCAAGAGGGCCCCCAAAACGGCCGCAAAAGGGGCCCAAAAGAGGGAACACAAACCGAACATCCGAGCCTTCCGCCGCAGGAAGCCCCCAGAAGGCTCTCAGAGGCACCCAGGAGGCCCCAAGAGGCCCCCAAGAAGACCCCACGATGCCCCAAGAGGCCCCCAAAAGGCTTCAAAAGGGCCCCAAGAGGCCCCCTAACGGCCCCCAAGAGGCGTCCAGACTGCCTCTACTCCCGAGAAGCCTCTCACGAGATCCCAACGAACATCCAATAAGCCTCATACTCACAACCCCGGGCACGGTGGCGGCATGGGCCGAAGGTCATTAAATCCGCCGCCCCCTGTGGTCTTGCCACAAGGGTGCACGGCGTGCTGGATGTTTCAGGTTTTGGTTTTGGTTCTTTTTCTAAAAGAACTCCCCAGTGGGCTTCGGCCCGTCCCGCCGGCCACCCGCAAGTTTCCGAAAATCCATCTGTCAATGCCTTTGTTGCCCCAACTTGGCCCAAGATGGCCTCCAAGACGGCCAAGATGGCCCAAGATGGCCTCCAAGATGCTTCCAAGACGGCCAAGATGGCCTCCAAGACGGGTAAGATGGCTCCAAGATGCACCCAAGACGGCCCAAGATGGCCTCAAGATGGTCTAAGACGGCCCAAAAGGCCCGCAAAAGGCCTCCAAGACGGCCCAAGAGCCCTCCAAGACGCCCTCCAGGAAGGCCCGAATAGGTTAAAATCATTGATTTTCCTTAGGTTTTTCAAGGATTTTGGCATGTTCTTCTTTTCAGCTCTCCGACGGCCCAAGACGGCCCAAGAGGTCCCCAACATCGCCCCAACAGCACCCAAGAGGCCTCCAAGATGGCCCCATGACGGCCCAAGAGGCCCCCAAGAAGGCCCCAAGAGGGCCTCAAGACGGCCCAAGAGGCCTCCAAGACGCCCAAGATGGCCTCCAAGACGGCCAAGATGGCCCAAGATGGCCTCCAAGATGCCTCCAAGACGGCCAAGATGGCCTCCAAGACGGGTAAGATGGCTCCAAGATGCACCCAAGACGGTCCAAGATGGCCTCAAGATGGTCTAAGACGGCCCAAAAGGCCCGCAAAAGGCCTCCAAGACGGCCCAAGAGCCCTCCAAGACGCCCTCCAGGAAGGCCCGAATAGGTTAAAATCATTGATTTTCCTTAGGTTTTTGAAGGATTTTGGCATGTTCTTCTTTTCAGCTCTCCGACGGCCCCAGACGGCCCATGAGGTCCCCAACATCGCCCCAACAGCACCCAAGAGGCCTCCAAGATGGCCCCATGACGGCCCAAGAGGCCCCCAAGAAGGCCCCAAGAGGGCCTTCCAAGACGCCCAAGATGGCCTCCAAGACGCCCAAGATGGCCTCCAAGACGGCCCCGAAGCGCCCCAAGAGGGTCCCCCGTTGGCCCAGAAAGGCCCCCAAACGGCTCCCGACGGCGTCAGACGTGCCAGGAACCCACCAAGATGGCCGAAGTTGGCTCGAAGCTGGCCCGAGACGGCCCAAAAAGCCCCAAAGATCGCCCAAAGCTTGCCCAAGAGGCCTCCAAGACGGCCAAGATGACCTTCAAGATGCCCACGTGTTCCCCGAAGGCTTTCCAAACCGATTCGGGGAACACATGGTCCGATGGCTTGGCAGGTCTGGCCTCAACGATCGGCCACCTAGGCGCTTCCAAAAAGGCAGGGGGCGGCGGTGATTCGCCGTAGGCGTCTTCGATCCGCCGCCCCCTGCTTGCAGGGGTGCACGGCGTGCTGGATGATTCAGGTTTTGGTTTTGGTTCTTTTTCTAAAAGAACTCCCCAGTGGGCTTCGGCCCGTCCCGCCGGCCACCCGCAAATTTCCCAAAATCCATCTGTCAATGCCCAAAAACGGCCGTTTCGCTCGGGACATCCTCAAAAAATCGCGAAGATGGCCCAAGATGGCCTCCAAGTCCGCCCGAGATGGTCCAAGACGGCCTCCAAAACGGCCCAAGAGAGTCCAAGACGGCCCAAGACGGCCCAAGAGGCCCCCCAGAGGCCTCCCAGACGGCCCAAGAGGCCTCCAAGAGGTCCTCCAGGAGAGTCCGAAGAGGCCAAAATCATTGATTTTTCCTTGGTTTTTGAAGGATTTGGCATTTGCGCCTTTTCGGCTCTCCGACGGCTCAAGACGGCCCAAGAAGCCCCCAAGATCGCCCAAGAGGCCCCCAAGAGAGCCCCATGATGGCCCAAGTGGCCTCCAAGATGGCCCCTAGAGGGCCCCAAGAGGGCCCAAGAGGCCTCCAACACGCCCAAGATGGCCTCCAAGACGCCCAAGATGGCCTCCAAGACGGCCCTGGAGCATTCCAAGCGGGCCCCAAGTCGGCCCATAGAGGCCCCCCAAACGGCTTCCGACGGCTTCAGACGTGCCAGGAACCCACCAAGATGGCCGAAGTTGGCTCGAAGCTGGCCCGAGACGGCCCAAAAAGCCCCAAAGATCGCCCAAAGCTTGCCCAAGAGGCCTCCAAGACGGCCAAGATGACCTTCAAGATGCCCACGTGTTCCCCGAAGGCTTTCCAAACCGATTCGGGGAACACGTGGTCCGATAGCTTGGCAGGTCTGGCCTCAACGTTCGGCCACATAGGCGCTTCCAAAAAGGCAGGGGGCGGCGGTGATTCGCCGTAGGCGTCTTCGATTCGCCGCCCCCTTGTCGATTCATCGCAGGGGTGCCTGGCATGCTGGACCCTTTCGGTTTTGATTTTGGTTCCTTGTCCAAAAGAACAGCCCCGGGGGCTTCGGCCCGTCCCGCCAGCCACCCGGAAAGATTGCCCAGGACTTCAATCCCCCGATGCTTCGCTCAAGATGGCCCACGAGGGCCTCCAAGATGCCTCCAAGACGGCCAAGATGGCCTCCAAGACGGCTAAGATGGCCCCAACATGCCTCCAAGACGGCCCAAGATGCACCCAAGACAGCCTAAGATGGCCTCAAGATGGCCCAAGACGGCCCAAGAGCCCCCGAAGAGGTCTCCAAGACAGCCCAAGAGGCCTCCAAGAGGTCTTCCAGGAAGGTCCGAAGAGACCAAAGTCATTGATTTCCCTTTGGTTGTTGCAGGATTTTGGCATTTCCGCCTTTTCGGCCTCCCGACGGCCGGAGAGGCCCCCAAGATCGCCTCAAGATCGCCCGAGAGGTCTCCAAGATGGCCCCATGACGGCCCAAGAGGCCCCCAAGATGCCCCGAGGACGGCCCAAGGGGCATCCAAGACGCACAAGATGCCTCCAAGACGGCTAGGATGGCCCCAAAATGCCTCCAACACGGCCCAAGATGCACCCAAGACGGCTTAAGATGGCCTCAAGATGGCCTAAGGCGGCCCAAGAGGCCTCCAAGACGGCCCAAGAGGCCTCCAGGAGGTCCTCCAGGAGGGCACGAAGAGGCCAAAATCATTGATGTTCCTGAGATGCTTGAAGGATTTGGGCATTTGCTTCTTTTCGGCATTCCGACGGCTCAAGACGGCCCCCAAGATCGCCCACGAGGCTTCCAAGATGGCCCCATGACGGTCCAAGAGGCTTCCAAGACGGCCCCAAGAGGGCCCAAGAGGCCTCCAAGCCTGCCAAAATGGCCTCCAAGACGGCTAAAATGGCCCCAAGATGCCTCCAAGACGGCACAAGATGCACCCAAGACGGCCTAAGATGGCCTCAAGATGGCCCAAGACGGCCCAAGAGGCTCCCAAGACCCCAAGAGGGCCCCAAGAGGGCCCCAAGAGGGCCCCAAAACGGCCCAAGAGGCCTCCAAAACGCCCAAGGTGGCCTCTAAGAACTCCTGATATGCCCCAAGAGGGCCCCAAGACGACCCAGACAGGCCCACAAGACGGCTTCCGACGGCGTCAGACAAGCCAGGAACGCCCTGAGACGGCCCAAGAGGCCCCCAAGAAGCCCCCAAAGGCCCCCCGCGCTGCAGCGGGAGCACGATTCGAAACGAGCGGGGCCCGAAAATAAGGCCGGCGCCTCAGCGAGAGCAGCATTTTGAAAAAAATACCAGCGAAAACCCAACTCCGGGGAAACCTGTTTGTAAAAAACAATACGCGGGGGGGGGGGTCGAGCACTTTCAAACCGTCATCAGGGGAAGAGGAGAGTAGTCATCAGGAGGAAGGAGGAGGCGGAGGGGGAGCCCCCCGGCGGACGGCCTCCCAGCTCGGCGCCGCCGCGCGGCGGCGGCGTCGGCGCAGCCGCCCAGGCGGCGGGCCCGAGCCGGAGGATCCGCAGCGAGCTGTAGGAGATGCCCGCGCAGCAGGCGTCCCCGTCGTCGTCTCCGCGGGAGGGGGGGCTCCTCCTCCTCCTCCTTCTCCTTCTCCTCCTCCTTTTCCTCTTCCTCCTCCTCCTCCTCCTCGTCGTCCTCCTCCTCCTCCTCCTCCCTCCTCCCGGGCCTCCAGCTCCTTCTCCTCCTCCTCCTTCTCCTCCTCGTCCTCCTCCTCCTCCTCCTCCTCCTCCTCCTTCTCCTCTCCCTCCTCGTCCTAGTCTTCTTCTTAGTATCGTTATCAGCAGTGTAAATAATACCACTGGAAAAATGGTAACCAAAAGAACAACATTACCCTGTGACGTACCCAAACCTTTCTGTACATGTGGCAATTATACTCAGGACAACTCAATGCTGACTGGCATTCTGAAGGACCCGCAGTGCGCAAGAAGAGCATCCAGCAGTGATTTCAGAAGAGCGCAGCAAGAACAGGAACGGCCGATATACAGAATGGAAGCACAGGGGCGTTGAAAGAAACGCGCCCAAAAAGTGAACACAAAAGGGCGCGGCGGCGAGGGCTAAAACACAACGATAGTCTCCGCTGGGCCTCCCAAGCACCACGAAAGCGGCGACAATTGCGCAGATCGCAAGCCCCCCAGGGGGCGGCGAGGTCCCGACGTGGTCCGCGAAGGACCCACCTCTGCTGAGCCTCCCAGGAGCCCACGAAAGTGGCGACAATTGCGCAGATCGTAAGCCCCCCAGGGGGCGGCGAGGCCCCGAGGTGGTCCGCGTGGGACCCACTTCCGCTGGGCCTCCCAGGAGCCCACGAAAGTGGCGAAGATCGCGAACCCCCCAGGGGGCGGCGAGGTCCCGAGGTGGTCCGCGTGGGACCCACCTCCGCTGGGCCTCCCAGGATCCCAAGAAAGTGGCGACAATTGCGCAGATCGCAAGCCCCACATGGGCGGCAAGGTACCGCAGTGGTTCGCGTGGGACCCACCTCCGCTGGGTCTCCCAAGAGCCCACGAAAGTGGCGACAATTGTGCAAATCGTAAGCCTCCCAGGGGGCGGGGAGGTACCGAGGTGGTTCGCGTGGGACCCACCTCCGCTGGGCCTCCCAGGAGCCCACGAAAGTGGCGACAATTGCGCAGATCGCAAGCCCCCCAGGGGGCGGCGAGGTCCCGAGGTGGTAAGCGTGGGACCCACCTCGGCTGGGCCTCCCAGGAGCCCACGAAAGTGGCGACAATTGCGTAGATCGCGACCCCCCCGGGGGCGGCGAGGCCCCGAGGTGGTCCGCATGGGACCCACCTCTGCTGGGCCTCCCAGGAACCCACGAAACTGGCAACAATTGCGCAGATCGCAAGCCCCCCAGGGGGCGGCGAGGTCCCGAGGTGGTTCGCGTGGGACCCACCTCCGCTGGGCCGCCCAGGAGCCCACGAAAGTGGCGACAGTTGCGCAGATCGTAAGCCCCCAGGGGGGCGGCGAGGCCCCCAGGTGGTCCGCGTGGGACCCACCTCCGCTGGGCATCCCAGGAGCCCACGAAACTGGCGACAATTGCGCAGATCGCAAGCCCCCCAGGGGGCGGCGAGGTCCCGAGGTGGTCCGCGTGGGACCCACTTCCGCTGGGCCTCCCAGGAGCCCACGAAAGTGGCGACAGTTGCGCAGCTCGCAAGGCCCCCATGGGGCGGCGAGGTGCCGAGGTGGTCCGCGTGGGACCCACCTCGGCTGGGCCTCCCAGGAGCCCACGAAAGTGGCGACAATTGCGCAGATCGCAAGCCCCCCGGGGGCGGCGATGTGCCGAGGTGGTCCGCGTGGGACCCACCTCCGCTGGGCCTCCCAAGAGCCCCACGAAAGCGGCGACAGTTGCGCAGATCGCAAGCCCCCCAGGGGGCGGCGAGGTCCCGAGGTGGTCCGCGTGGGACCCACCTCCGCTGGGCCACCCAGGAGCCCACGAAAGTGGCGACAATTGCGCAGATCGCAAGCCACCCAGGGAGCGGCGAGGTCCCGAGGTGGTCCGCGTGGGACCCACCTCCGCTGGGCCTCCCAGGAGCCCACGAAAGTGGCGACAGTTGCGCAGATCGTAAGCCCCCAGGGGGGCGGCGAGGCCCCGAGGTGGTCCGCGTGGGACCCACCTCCGCTGGGCCTCCCAGGAACCCACGAAGGTGGCGACAATTGCGCAGATCGCAAGCCCCCCAGGGGGCGGCGAGGCCCCGAGGTGGTCAGCGTGGGACCCACCTCCGCTGGGCCTCCCAGGAGCCAACGAACATGACAACAATTGCGCAGATCGCAAGCCCCCCAAGGGGCGGCGAGGTGCCGAGGTGGTCCGCGTGGGACCCACCTCCGCTGGGCCTCCCAAGAGCCCCACGAACGCGGCGACAGTTGCGCAGATCGCAAGGCCCCCAAGGGGGCGGCGAGGTACCGAGGTGGTCCGCGTAGGACCCACCTCCTCTGGGCCGCCCAGGAGCCCACGAAAATGGCGACAGTTGCGCAGCTCGCAAGCCCCCCAGGGGGCGACGAGGTGCCGAGGTGGTCCGCGTGGGACCCACCTCCGCTGGGCCTCCCGGGAGCCCGCGAAAGTGGCGACAGTTGCGCAGATCGCAAGCCCCCCGGGGGCGGCGAGGTGCCGAGGTGGTCCGCGTGGGACCCACCTCCGCTGGGCCTCCCAAGAGCCCACGAAAGTGGCGACAATTGTGCAAATCGTAAGCCTCCCAGGGGGCGACGAGGTCCCGAGGTGGTCCGCGTGGGACCCACCTCCGCTGGGCTTCCCAGGAGCCCACGAAAGTGGCGACAGTTGCGCAGGACGGCAGGAGAGAAGAGGAGATGGGGAACACAGGAAACAGGAGAGGAGGAGGAGGGGGAGAGGGGGGAGCAGGAAGAGGAAGGAGGACGGGGCGACCACACTGCTCTATTCAAAACGAGAACACAACACAGGAGGGTTGGGAAAAAAAACATATTAGCAACGCGGATAGTAAAAGCATTGACAACATTGCGTGTAATACTGATCGCATCAGTAGTGAACTCATACAAACTATTACGACGACTGGTACTATTACGAATAATGTTCGTCTTCTTCGTTGGAGTAGTATTATTAGCCATCTAACTGTTATTATCATCAGTAGTACTAGGGGGTATTAGTATTATGTTTCGAGGTATGACTAGTACTCCTAAGTCGTAGTAGTACGATTATGATTGTTGCTACTGGCGATGACAAGAATATTGGCATTCGTATGCTGATCAGTAGTGTGAATATTGCTCGTCGTATGAATCTTCGTCTTCGTAATATTAGTTGTAATTGTCGCTTGCATCGTATGCATACATCCCCAGGCCGAAAGTTTCTTCCAGTTGGCGCTGAACACGCGGTGCCCGGGCAAGTCGTTCCGGGAACCGACAAGATTGGGACGGGCGTGGTCCTCTTCGACTTCAAGAGGAGAATCTTTCGTCCTCCGTAAGTGCGCTGGCGCCCTGCGTATACCGACCGAACGGGCCCCCTGGATGCTGCGTGGCCCAAGGCTGATACATTGTCGGAAACGCCGAACGCATGCGAGGAAGTCTCGAACGGCAGTCCTCAAGAGCATGTGAGGAAGTCTCGAACGGAAGCAGCAGAAAAGAGATATGCCGCATGCGGCAAGGGACGGGTCGGATGCCAAAAACGCCCATCCCCAGGCCGAAAATTTCTTCCTGTTGGCGCTGAACACCACGGTCCCACGCGGGGCACAGGCCCTCTGGGAAATCATACCGGCGAACCCAATGAGGGTCGCACGGATCCGATTTTCCAACCTTACCGTAATCGTGAAATCGCGGCGGATCCCATTTCCGTGCGCGCGGATCCCATTTCTGATTTTCGGGATCCGCGTCGGACCCTATTATTTACGGCGGATCCCGTTTCTACCCCGCTATGGATTTATAATATTAAATTCGATCCGGGAACCGACAAGATTGGGATCCGTCGACCGCAGGCCCCCCCCGTGTTAAGATTCTACGGGGGACGGGCGTGGTCCTCTTCGACTTCAAGAGGAGAATCTTTCGTCCTGCGTAAGTAGTATTCGTTTTCGTTCTGTGAGTGGCATTCTGATATTTGTGGTACGAGTAAACTTACTCGTCCTACCTATAATATTCGTAGTATGACCGCGTGCATTCTTAGTATTCGGAGCGTTCTTCTTCGTATGCTCAGTGTTCATAATATTTCAGTTCGTACTACTGCTAGTATTTGTCGTCCTAGTCTGCTTACTACTAGCCGTAGTCTTACTAGTAGTACTCGTGTTATGAGTAGTATTCAGATTCTTGATAATATTCTTATTTCTGTTAAACATGAATACTCCTCCCCCTCCTCCAATACACTTTTCCTCATCCTTCTTCTCCTTCTCATCCTCCGCAACACTCCTCGTCGTCCTCGTCGTCCTCGTCGTCCTCGTCGTCCTCGTCGTCGTCGTCCTCCTCCTCCTCCTCCTCCTCCTCCTCCTCCTCCTCCTCCCCCTCCTCCTCCTCCTCCTCCTCCTCCTCCTCCTCCTCCTCCTCCAACTCCTCCTCCTCCTCCTCCTCCTCCTCCTCCTCCTCCTCCTCCTCCTCCAATACACTTTTCCTCCTCCTTCTTCTCCTTCTCATCCTCCGCAACACTCCTCGTCGTCCCTCGTCGTCCTCGTCGTCCTCGTCGTCGTCGTCGTCCTCCTCCTTCCTCCTCCTCCTCCTCCTCCTCCTCCTCCCCCTCCTCCCCCTCCCCCTCCCCCTCCCCCTCCTCCTGGACCCCCTCCTCCTCCTCCTCCTCCTCCCTCCTCCCTCCTTCCAGAGCTGGCGGCAGGAGCCGAGCAGGGAGGGGAAGACCCCGCCGAGCGCGCCTAGGCCCCAGGCCCTCCGCGCCGCGGTCCGCCGCGGGCCCTCCGCGCCACGACGGGCCTCCGCCGCGGCACGGGCCGCCGCGCCGCCGGGCGCCATGCGGAGGAGGAGGAGGGAGAGGAGGAGGAGGAGGAGGAGGAGGAGGAGGAGGAGGAGGAGGAGTGGCAGGAGGAGGAGGAGGAGGAGGAGGAGGGGGAGGGGGAAGGAGGACGGAGAGGAGGGAGAGGAAGAGGGGGAGGAGGGTGGGAGGAGGAGGAGGAGGACCAGTGCAAACCCAAGACAAACCCACTCATCAACGATGTTCGAATACACCCTCCCTCCAAGCTCTCTCTTCAGAGGCCCCTGCAAGCGTACAATGTCACTGAAAGGAGTGATCCGTTGAGGGATAACCGTGTGAACATCCGGACACGTACCAAAACACCACTCTCAGGACATGAACGTAACGAATCAACCTGACTGTTGCGTCTTGACGATCCTGAACCGCGCCAGAACACAATCGCTCCAACTGTTGCGCCCTGACAATCCTGAACCGTTCCAAAACACAATCTCTGGTACGCTATGCACAAGAATCAGTGACACTTGTGCAAATGTTTGAATCGACTGTGCACGGCGCTAAGGCGAGAACCAACGTTTGAAAAGGGGACCGCCCTAAATCTGTGAAGCTCTTGCAATTTCGTCAAACACATGTTCGCGGCGCTCAGGCGAAAGCCACATTCTGAAAAAGAAACCACCCTAAATCCGTGGAGGCGCTAAGGCAAAAACCAATTTGTTTGACGAATGAACCGCCCTCAATCCTCGAAGCTCTTGCAAATTCGCAAAACAAATGTGCACGGCACTAAAACGAAAAACACATGTTCAAAACCACCTGTCCACAATCCGTGCGAATGCGCGCGGCGCGAAAGTGTGAGTGCTTAACGTCTTGAACACGAATGTGTATGGCCCGTTGAAAACCGCCCGCCCTCTATGTGTAACACCGTTGACAGCTGTTGAGCTTCAGACTCACCGATAATCAAAAAGTCTCAAGCGAAACGCCCCGCCCGCCCTTCTGACAGGCCTCCGATACGGCAGGGAGGAGTTATTCATGAGGAGAAGGAATGGAGGAGGAGGAGGAGGAGGAGGAGGAGGAGAGGAGGAGGAGGAGGAGGAGGAGGAGGAGGAGGAGGAGGAGGAGGGAGGAGGAGGAGGAGGAGGAGGGGGAGGAGGAGGAGAAGGAGGAGGAGGAGAAGGAGGAGAAGGAGATGGAGATGGAGGAGGGCTCGATGGCACATTCGACGAACCTTCATGCTGTCAGTGACTCAGTGCCTCAGGGGGAGGGGGAGGAGGGTCAGCTGGACGTCGGCGGCGAGCCCTGGGGGGTAAGTGCAAGGGGGCAGGCCTTCTCAAAGGGCGGCGGGGTTTCTCAGCATCCCTCGCGCGCTTCGAGGGAAGTCTTCGGAGCCTCCTCCGAAGACAGGAGGGGGGGCTTCTCGGAGGACCCGAGGGCTCCTGCGAAGCCCCGCCACCCTCTGAGATGGCCTGCCCCTTCTCCGGGGAACACTTTCGCAGGGCGGAGGGCTCCGGGTGAGATCCATGTGGGTTTCTGCACCTCGAAGACCAAAATCCGCCTCGTGATTCACCTTCTGCAGATTCATGCACGGGCCGAGCGCTCCGCCTCCTCGCTCTCGTCCTCGCTCTCCTCCTCGCTCCTTCTCCACCTCCTCCTCCGCCTCCTCCTCCTCCTCCCTTCTCCGGCTGCAGCCTCCCGGCAGGGGTACCGGTAATGCCGATGTTAACCTTCAATCGGACGTGTCCCTCTACAAGGGGAACGTTCAAACATAGGCAAAAATTGGTATGGGGACGATTTGTTTGACCATGTTTGAAAATTTTGGGGAACGGCATTTCAGATTTCACCCTTTACCCTCCACCCAAGAAGAAAATGCTCCGTTCTCAGTGCCACCCCAGGGCTCGCCGCCGAGGGGCGGGCCTGGTGGGGACAACGGCAGAGACGCCGGCCGAGGCGGCGGAGAAGCCTCCAGGGGGCCCAAAAGGGGCGGAGAAGGCCAGGCTTAGGTCGGGCGTGTTTCCCTATGGGGGCATCTTAGGCGAAAAATCAGAATTAACCCACTCAATATTCCAAAATGGCCAAACAAAAAGTACTAGAAATAGTCCCCAGACTGTGTTTTAAAACTATGTTTGAATGTTCCTACTGTAGAGGGACGTGCCCGACTTGAGGCCAAGCCGAGACATTTATACTGACCGTGTACGAAAGTTTCGCGAAAATCATCACTGGTGCAATAGATTTGGGGCAATTGTATTGCAAATGTTTTGCGCCGGAGAATTGTATTGCATTGTATTGCAAATAGTGTATTGCGCGCGAAAATACAGCAAAACATTTGCGCCCCGAAATGCATTGCACGCTCCGTATGTATTGCAACCCCACCAATATATTGCACCAAACCTATTGCACCACCCCCTTGTCGCTGGAACCCCTTTTGGGTCGACCCGACATCAGCAGCATCAGTTCCAGGATGCGGGAGCGTCACGTGTGAGCGGTCGATATCAATGCCCCCCCCTCCCCCCCGGCGCACGGGGCCCCGCACAGTGGTGTGCTGCACGCCAACGGCTTGGGCGGGCCGAACGGCAGGGGGCGGCGGACCACGCTCCAGAAAATGCCACTGGACTATATTTAGGTCGGGCCTGTCCCCCCACAGGGGGATTTTGGACGCCACTATATATATATATATATATATATATATATATATATATATAATCCCAGAGATCCTCAAACATGCGTCGAACACGTGATCTTTTCACACGGATGGGCCGTTACGGTGAACCGAAGCAGCTTCATGCCCAGCTGGTGGAGAGGCCAGAGAATGCCACCAGAAAATATGAATTCACACATGGGGGGCGCTGTGGCCTTTTCCCGCGCACCAGAGAAAATCGAGCACGCGTTGGGAAATCATGACCAGGCATGTGCAACCCAGTGCCTTTTCACGGGGACGGCCCGCTCCGGTGCATCGGAAGATCATCCGTCGAATTTTTCCTGGGTGCGACGTCGGACCTCACGTGGGCGATCGGTCGATTCGGAGGTTGGGACATGGGAAACACGACACCGATTCCTCTTCGGGGGCGGATTTGCGATCGCGGCCCATACGCTGGCAGATCGCAAGACACGTCACCGTCGTCGCAGCAGAGCCCGATTACCATATTCTCGGAAATTTTCGTAGACGGATTGCGTTTTCAATCTTTCCTGGACGTTCGCCTCCCCCTCCGCACCCCATGTGTTCAATATGTTCCTCGGAATCGACGGTGATTTGTGTCTGGGCGTTTTCCCCCTGAGACATGAGTGTTTCAATCCGCCGCCCCAGAGCCCCCGACCTCCCCGGGGGCAGGTTCCGCACCCCGGATCAACTTGTTGGCCCGCGGGGCCGAGGACGGGCCCCTGGTGGCCGAAAGCGATGGGAAAAAACGCCGCCTTACAGTATCGTCGGAGATATGGCGAGGGGCAACGCTAGGGGGGACCAACTCCAGGAGGAGGAGGAGGAGGAGAAGGAGGAGGAAGAGGAGGGAGGAATGTTGCAGGTCCAAAGAGGCATCACAAAACCGTGGCGCTCAACAAAGCGCGGGCCAACGCGCCTTGGCCATCGGCCGAAGTGGCCAACGGCCAACGCCAAGGGCACACGCGCAAAAAGAGGGAATCACGGACACAAGCTGGGACCTGACCTCTGGCTTCCTTTCCCTGAATAACTCCCAATCGCGCCAGAAACGCTGCGCCTTAGGAAGGAAAGCGGAAAAAAGAAACCAAACCAAGGACTTCCCTACACCCCGCGCCAAAAATGGCGCATGGGGGTTCGGGGTCGGCGCCCAAGGGACAATGCGCGGAACGTTGCCCAGCGCCCGCAGCAAGCACGGCTACAGTATGCCCGCGGCAAAGAGCACTGCAACCAAGAGGTTGCAGGCGGGAAGCCGCGGGCCCCGCCTCCGTGATCGTCAACGGCGGATAACTTCAGGCCAGGAGGTGCCACTGGGGTCTCCCCGCGCCCAGGCCGCACCTCTTGGACGAAGTGGCAGGGCACTAAAAACCCTGGCCCGACAACTGCAACGGCGACAGCGGCGGCAGCAGGGCGGGGAAAGGGGGGGGAGGGCCACTCTTCGGCCCAGGAGCGCAAACAACGTCCAACCCGGAACTTAATCCAGGGCCGTGCCGCAACTCCCGAAGAGGAAAGGGGCGACACACACGACGACGAAGCGAGACACGAAGGACGACAACGAACGACCACGAACCTCCCAGAGGGAAGTGCCGCCCTCCGCCCGTTCCTTATCGCACCCCCGAGCGGGCGGGATACGCAGCGTGACATCACCGGACCCATGCCGCATTCAGGCGGTGCCACACGAAGCCCAGGCTGCACCGCTTATCCGCGGTGGCGAAGCATTTGGAAATTGCCTCGGCCTGACGGCGGAGGAGGAGGAGGAGGAGGAGGAGGAGGAGGAGGAGAGAGCTCCAGGGGGGGGGCGACGTCGGGGTTGAATCGTCGATGCAACACCGGTACAGCTCGGCGATGGGCGCCTCCGACGGCGAGGCCGCGCGTTCCTGGGCGGGGCGGGCCATCGGGCCCTCCTCGGCAATTATGATGGTCGATGCGTGCCCCTCCCCCCCTGGCGTTGCCCGGGGGAGGCGGGGGGAGGGGTGCCGCCGTGGTCCCCTTCGATCCTAGACATCCGGCGTCTCGATCTGCTCGAAAAAAACGAGGCCCCCCGACCTTTCGACCACTTCTCCCGGGACCGGCTTCTCATCCCGACTCGATTCTTGATGGCCCCGAGGCTCGGTGAGGGCCCCAAGATCGGCGGCCAGCAAGGGGGGGGAGGGTAAGTGAGGAGGAGAAGGCCTTCTCACAAGGCGGCGAGACTTCTCAGAAGCCCTCGCGCCTTCGGAGAAGTTGTTCGTGTTTTCGGGGGAGGCTGAGAGAAAACTTCTCAGAGGGCCGGGGGATGTCCGAGCCTTCTGAGAAGGCCTTTTTCTTATCCTTCTTCTTTTTTTCTCTCTTAAAGACTGGCGGAAAAAAACGGCTCTAGAGGCGTTTCACTCCTCACTTACAGCCACTATGAATTATTTAAAG